CTGCTAGTGTTCCATAGACCATCAAAACAGTCCATGGTTGTCATCCCTACTCTGCTGAATGACGGGGGTCAACGTTGGGTAAGGGCTTTTCTCATATTGCACCACTCACGCCAACATCTGGGTAAAAGCTTTTCCCATATTTCACCACTCACTTTCAACTCATGATCTATATCACTGATCATCTCATCTATCCAACTCACTTTTCATCACACACCCACTATTTAACTCATGATCTATATCACTAACTCATGAAGCTCGTCCGATCACTTCATAAAAGAACAAAGACTCCAAAGCTCTTCCAAATAAAAGTATAGGGAAAATACTGATAAAGTACTCCCGTACGCTCCCGTACCCCGACACGTAATAGTGTCGAAAGGAAGAACTAATGGATGAACACATAGTTCAAAAATACCTAATGAACATATAGTTCAAACATACGTACCGATTACAAGTCTACTAACGTTCCACTGGGCTATCTAAAATAGTCTGTGGCCGTTGTCTATACTCTGCTAGATGACTAGATCATCTTAAACATCGATACCTCTCATCACTTTTATTTCATCACACATCATCTAATTAATCTACCCATGTTTTACCCAACATATTTGTAGATAAAAATATATATATACAGTTTAAAACTTGTATAAAACATCAATTCAACAGTCACCTCAAATAAACAATTAATATATTTACACATAGCACGTATTTTAAGGTAAATACTTCATATCTATGTGTAAGGTGAAAGTGACTATACACTCACTTGATTTAATGAAAATCAGGCAGCAATTCGTTTCCTAAAACGATCATTTCTAATAAAACCGAGAGTTTTATTGAGAAACCGGGCTCTGCGAGGGTTGGGCTTCGAAACCGAAAAAAAATAAATTTCCCGGGATTCTCGGGCACTCCGGGACATGTTCCGGGCGTTGGAAATGATCTCGGCGCATCGGGGGAAGTCAAAATGGCTAAAATATTGAAAAAGGGGGTGAAAATGCCAAAATTCCCAAAAGTACCCGGGCAATCTCGCATGCCCTCTATTTATAGGGGAGAATCCGAAGTCGGCCGAGAGAAGGGAGTCATCACCGAGGACACGCGGCAGCATATCCGAAGGCCAGGTGTCCGATGCGAGGCGAGGCAGGTGGCTTCGGATGCGAGGAGTCAGCAAACACGCGTCGGTCTTCGGACGTGCCACGATTCAGATGACTCAGCAAGGTCGGACACGGGGCAGCTCCTGCGAAGGCCACGTGCAAAGCTCGGACAGGTGGAGGCTTCTAAGTGGACCGAACTTCGGTCCAATGGGGAAAGAGGGTGACGACTTCGGACCAATCAGCGGGTGCCACGCGAGGCTGCGGTCCAATCAGAAGGTGCCACGTGGCCTATGCGAAATTTCTCGGATTTTAAAATAATTTCTCGATTTTTGCGCCAAAACTTCTAAAATCCATAACTTTCGCATACGAGCTCCGTTTTTTACGTTCTTTATATGCACGCGTAGGTAAAATTACGCTCTACAACTTTTGTTTTGACTTCGTCGGCTAATTTTGACTTTAATTTTTATATTATTATTTTTAACAGACCGGGACAGGAAATCCGTTAAAAATTCATAACTTCTTCATCCGACGTCCGTTTTCGTCAGAGTTTTTACCTTTGTGCTACTAATCACGAGACCTTCGATTCTCGTTTAGGTCGTGTCGGCTAAAAATCACTCGATCTAAAATTCGAGTTTTTAGCTGTCTACTGCTAAGCTGAAACTTCGAAAAATCATAACTTCCTCATACGAAGTCAGATTTGGGCGTTCTTTTTATACCTAATCTCGGTTTAACGAACACTACAAGTTTCGTTTAGATCACTAAGGCTAAAAAGTAGTTTATCAAAAACTCACTTTTTACGACATTCGGCACCGTGCCGGTTTATCGTGAAACTTCGACAGGTCATAACTTCTTCTTTATATATCCGTAATCCTTGTCACGCCCACTACCAGTTTCTTAATATATATCGGCTTTATCTAAAATTTAATTTTTGACGCTCATTTTTATTCTTAATTAATTAAACCCTAATAATTAAGCATAAAACACATAATTCACATAAAATTCACATAATTCCTTTTCATTTCTTCTAAATGAGTTACAAAGGTTAACCTAGACCATTATGTCAATATTAATGCCTAGCCTAGAAACACGGGCGTTACAGAAATAGTCCCCAGTTACCGGTTGAAAGATACCGAAGGGGAGGTCAGCTTCAGTTACCGGTTGAAAGATACCGAATGGGAGGTGAGCTCCCGGTTACCGGTTGAAAGATACCGAAGGGAAGCCCAACTTCCAGTTATGCCAGGCAGATACCGGTTGAAAGATACCGAGGGATTGACATTATGCGTTATGGAACGTGGTATGATGGGGGAACTCACTAAGCTTTTTGCTTACAGTTTTCAGTTTTGTTTCAGGTACCTCTTCGTCGAAGGGGAAGGAGCCGGCTCGGTAGCAGCGCATCATACACACACAGGATTTCCGCATTACGAGATTCTTGGGATTGTACTCTGACATTATTACTATTTTATGATATGGTTTGAGACACGTGACTATGTTTTATGAAATGATATGAATCGATGATGTTTTTCAGTAAACTGTTTTATAAGTTACTTAATTAAAAACAAAATTTTTGGTCTTGAAAATTGGGATGTTACAAAAATTTTGATTTCGTCCATCAGATTATGGAGTCATTATCTCTAAGAAGCTACATAACAGCTCCAGAATCATAAGGGACACCAAACAGTTAACTCTCAACCAACACAAAGAAAAGTACTACTAAAAACGTATCAAGTTAAAAACGAAAGTCTTGATCAACTAGTAAAAAGTCAATCATTGACTCAGGTAGTTCAAAATTGGAGAATCAACCGAAGGAAACGAAACCCGGGAAACGGAGGAATTCGTTTGGGTCACCAAAACCTAACAATTCCGATCATGAAGGGAATGGGCTATTACTGAGTTACATGCAAGCAACGGAATCAGCAAGAGCAAAAGCAATTGTGAATGAGTTACCAAGGTCACGCCCTGATGTTCAAGATAAAGAGATTTATTTAAAAAAGAGACATTCGTTACCTGGTAATGGGAGAACAAGATTTCAACACAATCAAGCATCCATGATAAAATCCATTTTAACTAAAATTGACAGAACATGAACTTAAATCTTAGCAGCGAGAATTTGGGAGAAAGAAAGTAACTTAAAATTCCGACCACCACAGGTAACATAGAGTCCGAACTGAAGTATTTGAAGCGGCAGCAGTGCAGACAGCATGAACCACTACAACATGCGATAGCGGTGGGAGTCACTAGGAAGAAATAGATGGCGAATGTGTGGGCAGATGATGATGAACGTGATGAAGATATCCGGTGAAAGGTTCAATGGTATATAGGGTCTTAAAACTGATATTCCTAAATTAAAGGGATATTAATTGATTTATATATTTACCATAATTAAATAAATGTAAGATTACATAATTACTCTTCTAAAATGATTGGTCTACAATCATTCCTACGTCCACACAATAGTTAGTTAGAATACTTGAACCTACATCTCTCTCTCTCTCTCTCTCTCTCTCTCTCTCTCCCTATATATATGACATCATCCGGTTTTTGGGACCGGTTGAACCAGTTGAACCAATGAACCGGTAACACAACCGGTTCGGTGTCCGGTCCGATTTTCAAAACCTTGGTCCTAGTATGAGTCAACCATTTGGTCAAATATATTTTCACCATTTTGACGTTTTTAGCCCTTCAACTTCATATGTTTTAATTTCAACATTTCCAACTATCATTTAAACTATTTTTACAACTTGTTTTATTATTCCCCTTTACTCTAACCCATTAACTTATTCATTTATTATTTTTAGTTCATTTAGTCTAATCTAATTTATTTTTTTACTCAAAAGTTATAACCTTGAAAATCAGGTGTTACATACAAATGGGGAAAATATCGACAATGGTTGCACATACAACAAAGATGCCACAAATTAACAAAGACAAATGAGTTCTCCTCAAATTAAGTTTTCGTTAATTTACCAACAAAGTTTCCCTCAAATTAACTGGAGTGATAAACTACTTCCTATAAGGAGTTCTGGCATCATCACAGATGACAAGTTCCTTTAAGCCGACAGAGTTCTCTTTAGAGGGTTGGGAAAATAGAACCAGAAAAAAAAACATGTGGTGACAACAAGTCCAAAACAATTCTCACTCATCTTCGACAAAGAATGTGAATGGTCGTCCAATAGTAACACCACATAAATTTCTAATGCCTAGGCTTTTGACAACCTGAAAAGTTGATAATCAAATATATGCATCCATTCACCATTCTTTAACCAACCAGTTTCCGATAAACCAGAAACCAATAAAATAATTTTCCTTTCTTTTAATTAAAATTTCTTAAAAAATATAAAACGAAGTGTAAAATAAATTAAAATTTGTACTAATGTCATTTTATATTGGTCAATGAACACAAAAAAAATTGAAACTACGGGGCCATCTGCATCAACTAAAAAAATTAGGGACTTAAAAATAAGTTTTTACAAATCATATGGACCAATTATGAAATTTTGTTTTATATTAAATTTGATTAAGTATTTAATTAAAGATAATTTGTTATGATAATAATATTAATCCTTATAAGTCATATATGATTAAGATGTGTATTCTACATTTAATAATGGCTATTAGTGTGATAGTATGACTTTTATTGAAAACTATATTGTAGTTTTATTGACGTTTATTGAAAATGGTTACATTACACAAATATAAAAATGGTGGTCCAAGATGCCAAGTTCCTAGATGGTCTCATTGGTGACTCGGACGTGGTCTTTCTCAAATGGGAAAGCATCACCCACCCCCACCTTCCCCTACCCCACCTCCATCCCATATTATATATCAACATTGGTCAATGCCAGTCTACTATAGTTTCTACTCTCCCTACTTACTCCACTTATTCGATCCATCTCTCTCTCTCTTTCTCTCTCTCTCATGACCAATTCAAAGGATGATACTCCAACCACCTGCTTCTCCTCCATCCTCCGCCGTCTACTATGCACCGGTGGCCTCCCAACCCATCCCTCCTCCGACACCGACAACCCCGAAGGGTCAACTCGTCTGCTTTCCAGAACTGATTTATCAATCAAACATCAACCTTCGTCCCCCACACGTTCCACCATCCCAGCTGGTATAGTAGCAAGACTTATGGGCCTCGACTCCATCCCCAAATCTCCTCATACCACAGTCATGCGTAAAAGCAGGTCAGTTGGTTCTGTAGATTTCTTACCAAACTTCGAGATACTTAAACAGCACCATCACCATCGTGCTAGAACTTCAGTGTCTTTCAGGGAAGTCCCCACATTCTTGCGAACTTCACATAACCATGTCCATGGAAAAGTTGATCCAGTTCGAAAATCTGAGATGGGTTTGTTTCCAATAGAAGAGAAGTCACAGAATTTGAACAAGAAGAAGAAAGTTCAAAGTCAAAAGCAAAATTTGAAAATAAAGAGCGAAGAATCAGTGTCTTGTGGGCAAGGGAAGTGCAGAATAAGGAAGAAGGAAGTACTGAATGCTGCTAAGAAGAAAGTGATTGATGATGAATTTCCAGAAGAACAGAAGAAGAAAAACTGCAAATCAAGAAAGAGAACGTACAATCATCCATTACCAAAGATGGGGAAACATGACAGAAAAGCCAAGAAGAAGGTAATGTTAAAGAGGAAAGAAAGTGAGTACAGTGAAGAGTACTGCATTAAAGTGTTAATGGAAGTTTGTAGGCTAACTAGGGATGAGACCAATGGGAGTGTTTGGGTAGTTAATACTAATCTACAAGACATAAGCTACGAGATAGGCCAAGAAATCCTTCAAGTGCTTGTGTACGAAATGATTGATGAGTTATTGTAGGTTTCCATAAAAGTAGCAGACTAGCATACCTGTTCATGCCAAAGTCATTCCTACTTTTACACCATATATAATTGTATCATAAAAGAAGTATTTTTTTTTTTTTGTAATATTGTAAAACAGTTAAATAGAGCTCTTTGTGACATTGATAGATACGTTCCTTGTCTTAAATACAAATTTACCCATACGTCGGGGAACAAATTTCACACTTGGTTTTAAATTATGGGAATATAAGTTTTTTAAGGTAATTATCTTTTCGGTTTGTTCACATCTGGGTAACTTTTTTTTGTACATATCTAAGTAACAAACTTGTTGAAAGTGTCCACATATGACCATTATAACCCGCTGCAGCAGGTTACATCCCAGACACGAACACTTTCAACAAGTTCGTTACCTAGATGTGTAAAAAAAATAGCTACCCAAATATGAACAAAACAAAAAGTAAGAGTAAATTAGACGAATGGTCTCTGTGGTTTGGGGGAATTTATGTGTTTGGTCTCTAATTTATTTTTTTAACTCGAATGATCCCTACTGTTTATTTTTGTTGCACCATTGGTCTCTGTCTTATCTAAAAAGACTATTGTGCCCTTATTAATTTATTTTTTTAATTAATTTTCTTATTTATGTATTTATTCTTTATATATTTAAAAAAAATTAATAGACCACATCTTCATCAAGTTCAGCATCTCTACCATCTTCCACGTTGGGCAACCGAGACCAAATTAGTTTGGCGGTCTCGACACCGTTCTGAAGATGGTTCGTCAGCATTATTGTGGCGAGATCAATTCAATACTCTGATTTTGCGAAATTGAAGACGTTTTGTTCGTTTGGATGTAAGAATTTGGGGAAAGAGAGATGGTTTGTCGGGGTTTTGAGGACTAGAAAGAGGATTTGGGCTCTCTCTCTCTCTCTCTCTCTCTCTCTCTCTCTCTCTCTCTCTCTCTCTCTCTCTCTCTCTCTCTCTCTCTCTCTCTCTCTCTCTCTCTCTCTGATCTATAATGGTGGCGATTGATTCATGAATCATGTATAAAGAATAAATACATAAATAAGAAAATTAATTTTTTTTAACGCGGAAGATGGTAGTGATGCTGAACTTGATGAAGATGGGGTCTATTAATTTTTTTTAAATATATAAAGAATAAATACATAAATAAGAAAAGTAATTTTAAAAAATAAACTAATAAGGGCACAATAGTCTTTCTAGGTAAGACAGAGACCAAGCGCGCAACAAAAATAAACAGTAGGGATCATCCGAGTTAAAAAAATAAATTAGGGACCAAACACACAAATTCCCCCAAACCACAAGACCATTCGTGTAATATACTCTTACTTTTCGTTAGGTAACTATTTTTTTGTACACATCTAAATAAAAACTTGTTGAAAGTTTTCACATCTAGGATGTAACCTGCTACAGCAGATCATAACGGTCATATGTGAACACTTCCAACAAGTTTGTTACCTAGATGTGTAAAAAAAAATAGTTACCCAGATATAAACAAACCGAAAAATTAATTACCTTAATAAGTTATACTCCCTTAAATTACAAAAATTAATTTATAATGATGCCATACAAAAATTAATTTATAATGATGCCACAGTATATTAATGTTCAGAGTAAATGTTCTTTCAACAGTTGAAATTTAAGTTGCAAGGCCACATAATCTTTTAGTGGCGGTTAACAACAATCCCCAAAATCTTTAACAAAAACTAATTTTTTATTTTTATTTTGTGATAATATTATTTATGTAACATCAAATTTCCACGATTTGGAAAAATAATTTGCAACGCAGTTATTCTCTAAAAATAGCTCTTTGTATACTAATAATCCTCCCAGGTAAAATAATACAATGAAAAGTTGTTTTATTTTGAGAAAAAATTGTTGACTTGATACTAATAAGTTGTTAACCGATAACCAATGTTTGAGAGTAGAAAGCATGACTAAATGGAGTCAACATGACTAATTATTGGACTTGGAATGTAGCCATGGTTGTAGAACTCGTTACTCGGCACCTGTTCGGCCGACTACCGAGTAGCGAGTACTCAGAGAGTACTCGAATTCGGTAATTAATGTATAAATATTTTTAGGGAAATTATATATTTTAAAATCATAAGTTAAAAACATAAGTTGAATGAAATATATAACAAAATTAGATACATGTGAATACACAAAAACTGAAAAACACACAATGGTTTCACTTCGTGAATAATTACTGAAAATTTTTGATATATATGTAGTAATAATCACATGTGTGTGTGTTAAATAATAAATCATTAAGTATATTATACATATTAATCACCGAATTGGCTGAGTTTTACAACACTGATCGCTTCAATAAGGGGCCGATCGGGGAGTACTCGGATTCTGTAACTCGCCTCGATAACGGGCCGAGTAGCGAGTACTCGGATGAGTAATCGGCCAACTCGGCGTGTTTTACAACACTTAATGTAGCCATGATAATATAGATAGCATGAGCGAATCACCTAAAACAGTTTGTATAAGAAAGTTATGCACATTTGAGGTTGGAGGTTGAACTATGCTTAAGTTAATGAGAGTACATTGCCTAAATGTGTACTTTTAAGGAAAACACGGCCATGTAATTGTGACAATGTGTGTAAAGCATGGTTTGTTGAAATACAATGTTATTATAGGCATATTGGGCAAAAACAAGACCGTGTTTTGAGTTATACAGGTTGTGTAATGTTGACGAAACTATTTAAGCTTAATATAAGGGTATGTCGACCATTACTATCCCAAAGACACATCAAGCACCTACATAATGCTTTGGGGACAGGGAGAACGACTTCTGAATATACCTTTTTAGTTTGATTATATTAAGATTGAAGGATAATTACAACCTTTTAGAGTTTTAGTAACAAAAGGTTGTAGAATTTAAATTTCCTCTTACAAATCAAACGTATATTTTGAAAATTTCTAATTCCATAACAACTAAATGCATCACATAGTAGAATCTCACATTCATTTTTTTTACTCCATAAAAACCCCAAACCAAACATGCCCTTATTATCCCTATCCATACCCAATTGATTGTCGATAACAAGGTTGCTAAAGTTCCGATCATGGCCATGAGATCATACAATCCTACGATCCAACCTAAGTATATTGATCTCGATAATATTACAATCCTACGATCAAACCTAGTTTATTCTCCTTTAATAGGCCCATGATGTTTTGTTGGTGGTGGGGATTTTATCATTCTCCTAATCTGTTGTGGGCTCGTTTGGTCAGATCTTTGTATGGCCCTGATGGCGGTTGCAGGTCTTTGCCCTCTAGGATAGCTGGAACGGGTCCTTGGCTTGGAGTTATACGTATGTTAATTCAGTTAAGGGACATAGATCTTGATATTTGTTCCTTATGTCCTATCAGGGTTGCTGATGGGAGTTATACTTCTTTTTGGCAAGATGTTTGGATAGGAGAGGCGTCACTTGCAACCACTTTTCATAGAGTGTTTTCTTTGGACACTTTTAGAAATGCTATTGTCAAAAATCGAATGGATGCGGGTTGGGAGACCGATACTCTTAGACGCAGTCCTAGAGGAAGTGACGAGCAGGAACAATGGGATGGAATTCTTTCTCTGATTTAGGATTTACAGTTGCAGCCGATTTCTGATAGGTTGGGTTGGATTACCGATGGTTCTGACTTCTCCGTTGCATCTGCTCGACGGTTCGATTCTTTGCCCTATGTGTTCGTGTAGGGTGGAGACTATTGCGCATTTGTTTTCTAGGTGCTCTGAGTTGTGTGAGATTTGGACACGTATTGCTATTTGGTGGGGGATACAGATTCAAGATCACATTTCAGTTCATTCTCTTATCATGTGGTCGGACTCCGTTTCTTTGAGAAGCGGCCAACGAAAGCCTTTCGATGCAGTGGTTATAATTTGCTTTTGGTGCATTTGGAATTTCAGGAATTCGACAATTTTTGGAACGGCTGCACCTAAAAAATCGTTTCTTTTTTATGATGTTGTTTATAAGGTTTTTTTTCTAGATTTCCAGTAGGTGTTGTAAAGTTAAGTTATGTTGGAGTTCTTGGCTTCACAACCCTACTTCTCTGCTACAACTTTGATGTAATGGTTTATTTCTAGCTCCTTGTTAATTTTAATAATAATTTCGTCGTTCTAAAAAAAGATCAATATTATTTATTTATTTAAAAATTATAATATTTTATCTTCTTCTAGCTAAGTGAATCGAATATAAACTTTACAAAGCTCCTTTAGAATTGTTTATTGTTCAATGATATATTAAAAACATATGTTCATATTTTTAACTATTTATTGTTAACTGAATGGCTGATGGATGGACATATTTTTTATGTTTTAAACTGATTTTGGTACATAGGATCTTTCGATATTACAATCACAATCTTACAAAACAAAAACGATAATATATAGGATGCTGATTTTGACAAGTTTTATCGATAATGAATACACTAGTTTTTATGGGCTTGTCTTGCCCTCGAGGCCATATTCAACAACTTTGGTCAAGTTGTTTGAAACAAACTTTAGTATTTTACAAAGAACATCGAATTAAAAAAAATACCCGAGTGATAGCAATTCATAATTCCTTAAAATATAAGTTCCATTTGTTGTATATGTTTATGTTAAAAACGTTTATTTTTTATTAACTGAATTGTAGATAAAATATTGTGTGCAAAAATGACATGTGTATCCCTTAGATGGAAGTGGTTGATGTGTAAAATTGCCAAAATATCACTGGTGTCCAGGTATCCACTATTGACCTTCCACATGAACTTTAAGACTCATTGACGTAAGTCACTCAAATGATATATACTACTTACTTCTTTTTAAATGACATATGTCTCAAAATTTTGTTGTATGAAGAAATAATAGGCGTCCATATCGATACAATGAACATTTCTATCATTCTATGTGGAATTAGGGTTGGATGAAAATGAATGTTTATTTTAAAAGCTAGCCAAATGTAATTCTAAATCTTATAATTTACATGTATATACCACATTAGTATTT